ATCCTCCTTTCTAACATAGCGAAAAACATATAAAACAACATTCATCATAAATCTCATTGTATGGGCATTTTGGTCATTCTTACATCATGCATAACATACCTGTCCATATTGTCCAACTCATATCCTAGTCATGCATATTCTCTTTCTAGCTTGCATAATAAATAAGTTAACATGCTTCTTAGAAATATTTACCTAGGGGTATAATGGTAATTTTACCGTAACATACCTACATACCCATAAAAAAATGACTTCCCAAAGTCCTTAACATGCATTTTCTAACCACCTAAGGTTAGGTATGCTCATGCACACCTTAGCAATCCCTACAATTAGTGTGGTTACTTACTTGGATGATGCATGCCTTCCCGAGCTAATTTCTCCACATTTTAGAAGCTCCAAAATTTCTAAAAGTCCTTTGATAAGTCTTATTTCAAGTAAATAGTCGAACTGAGGTAAAAGAAAGATCTCTTGCACTTCACCCCAAGGAGGGAACGACATATGCACAATGCCACATGCGGATAACCACACGCGCGCTCTTCGTGCAACACATGGCAGCTTTTGATCCGCACTTTCAACTCCTAGAGAACGCGTTCGATCCTTTGCGGGTGTAGAACTCTTGCAATTTACGACATTACAACACATGGCACACTAAGGCAAGATGTGGATCACACGTCGAGTCAGGCAAACAGATTGGTCAATATTCGGCTCAGTCATTTTTCTTGTGTCGTGGATTTCGAACTTCTATCCCTAATCAAACTCATTATCTTTACTGTTTTTCTTTCAGCTCAAATAGTGTAGCGCACAGCAAAGTTAAAAGTTGGCGAATCTAATCAATCTATATGACCAATGAAACTATATTACACTTTTGTAAGTTTCAATAACTTTCTTTAAAAAGCTCGAAAAGTGAGTGAAAATGATCCAATATTGAAAATGCAAACAAAATCTCAAATTTGAGTAAAAATTAGAAAAGGATGGATATCTACATGGATAAGAGATAAGAGAGATCTTCTTAATGAAACAAGAAGTAAAGTTGAAATAATTAATTTGAGTCCAAAATGTATAATATTGTATTTTGGGTTCCGTCCCATTTTAGTCTCTCTCATTTAAATGGTCTAAGTTGAGAAGAAAAAAAAAAATACATAAAAGAACTTCGTACCATTTGATTACTTCTCACAGTTTACTATTCCACTTCGAAAGTGCCAGCATTTATCAGAACTTCTTTGGTATGATTTGATAAAGAAATAGTGAGTTAATAAGATTGACTTAGGAAAAGAAATTATTAGTCAAAATAATAATTGTTCGGTAATTATTGACTTGAATAGGTATTTGTAAATTGTTAGTCTTTTGTTGAACAGAATGGTCAGTAGTTACTTAACTTGAAGACAAAGTTTAGCAAACTAGTTATGCTTTCTTTACTGTAAATACCCCTTAGATGTATGTTATTTTTCCAACAAGAAAGAGAATTGAGAAGCATAAGTATTTAAGTTTTTTTGTTATAGAAGATCTCTCCCCTCAAGTTGTTCTTCTTGCTTCAGTTGTTTCTTTCGACATATTTTGATCGTGGGCCATTTCCAATATTTGGTATCAGAGCTAAGATGTTAAAACAAATGTCGTCATCATACAAAGTTGTCAGAGGAGATATGACAACAATAAGGAGTGAAAGGGAAGGGAGTGTAATGCTCCAGTACTTGTTACTCACGAAGAGTAAGTATGCAGCATGATTGATAAAGATGCGTGTTAACTTACAGGCATAAGGCAAGTGGGACACCATCGAGCATGGTGATGAAGTTGAGGAGTGTAAGGATAGGATGGCTCTTGCCGCCATCTGCCAAGCAGTCCCAGAGGACGTTCTTCTCATGTTGGCAGAGAAGGACTCGACAAAGGCAGTGTGAGAGACGCTATAAACAATGCATGCGGGCGTGGAATGTGTCAAGGAAGCAAAGGTACAGACCTTGAAAAGTGAGTTCGAGGCTATCCGTATGAAGAACGGTCAGTCAATAGATGACTTTGGCATGAAGTTGACGACGATTATCAACGACAACTGTTCATTATGCGATGTGGTGGAGGAGATCTCCATCTTCAAGAAGTTCCTTCGAGTAGTTCCCCCAATATTCATGCAAATTGTTACCTCCATTGAGCAGTTCAACGACCTCAAGAACATGTCGGTTGAGAAGGTCAGTGGTTGTCTTAAGGTCCATGAGAAGAGATTTCGTGGCTAAGAAGACAAAGAGGAGGAGAAATACCTCTTACTCACACAGAAGGAGTGGCTCGCACGAACGAAAAAGAAAGATGCAGATGACTCTTCTTCTTCAGGTACAAGCGAACGTGGTAACCATAACAAAGAAAAAAGAGGTCGTGGTCTTGGCCGCGGACGTGATGGCAGAGGAGGTCATGCCAATACCTCTCAAAACCATGAAAATGCTAAACATTCGAAGGACAAGAGTATGATCAAGTGTCACTCTATTCGAAAATACGGGCATTATGCAGCAGAGTGCCGCAACAAGGAGCGCGATGAGAAGGCAAACCTCCTATTCTCAAATGATGAAGAGCCCACATTGATGTTTGCCTTGGAAAGACCTAACCTATTGATGCTCAATGAAGAAAAGGATATGGCGAACCTCTTCATAGATGAAGAAAATCAAGTGGAGACCAGCATGTGGTACCTAGACAATGAAGCGAGAAATCACATGACCGGAGATCGAGCAAAGTTCAAAGAACTTGATGAGAAGTTTATTGGAAATGTGAAGCTTTGCGACAGATCAATTGTACCGATCCAAGGAAAAGGTTCTATCTTGTTTCAGTGTAAGAATGACGATCAACGTCTATTAAACAATGTGTATTATATCTCGAGTTTGAAGAGAAATATTATTAGTCTTGGTGAAATGACAGAAGAAGGTAGCAGAGTGGAGATAGTCAGCCCGTTCCTCAAGATATACAACCGAAACGAAGCCCTGTTGATGAAGGTAAAATGGTCGCAAAACCGCCTATATAAGATACTATTGAAAGACTATCAACATCTTCCAAAAAGTATCTATTGACGTTGGCAACAAGAAAGTGAAGTAGAAACCAACGGGTCAGGAGAAAAAGGAACCGAAAAATAAATCCAAGAAGTAACCAGAGACTGCTTCAATCAACGAAGTGCAATCTACAAGTTGATGTGTTTCATCATAATTATCATCTCAACCAAAGAGACCTAGAGGAAGACCACCAGGGTGTAAGAGAAATGAGACTTCAAACTTGTCATCTCAACTAAAGAAACCTAATATTATAAAAATTTTCTACATGTAAAAATTAAAAAAATTTATGAAGAAGACAGAGTTAACTAGGGACCAAACAAAGTTGAAGCTAAAGAGCAACTTGCCTTGGGAATAATCTTAAATTGAAAAAAGAGAAGAAGGGTAGTTTTTTTATTTTGTTAAATTTTGTAAGGCTTTTGAAATTGTGAGGGAAAAGGCCAAAGAAAAAATAGAGGGTCAAGAATTAGAGAATGGGCTATGGGATAGCTAATTTTAGATTTTAGAAACCCTCGTTTGTTTTCACGGTAAAATGCAAGAGGTAGAGAACAAAAGCGAGAGACAGAAAGCAAAGTGTAAAGTGTAATAGAAAAGAGCTTTTTCAGAATTTCTTTTGTCCCCTTGTCTCTCCCCTCTCGAGACCTCCTTCATAGCTTCGTGAGAGGTATTTAAAGAAGTTGGTTTCTGAGCGAGCGTCTATTTTCTACAAGTTGGTATCAGAGCGAATTTTATTTCAACAAATTGGTATCAAAGCCGATGGTGAACATGATGGGACAAATGCCGCTACCACGATTGACGAAGACGGACTACAAGAATTGGAGCATCCAAATGAAAGCTCGTCTCAGTTCGCAAGACGCATGGGAGGTGGTCAAAGAAGGTATCGAAGAACCGAATGATACCACGGGTTATATGGCAGCGCAAAACAAGGCGCTAAAGGAAGCACGATCAAAGGATAAGGCAACATTATACATGCTGTTCCGGGCTGTTGATGAGTCGGGCTTTGAGAAGATTGCAAGGGCAACTACTTCAAAAGAAACGTGAGACACTTTAGAAAAAGTGTTCAAAGGAATCGACCGAGTCAAGCAGATGTGTCTTCAGACTCTGTGTGGCGAGTTGGAGAGCATGAAGATGAAGGAGTCAGAAAATGTATCTGACTACATCACGCGCGTACAAACCGTGGCAAATCAACTAAATCGAAACGGAGAAATGTTACCCGAGACGCGTGTTGTGGAGAAGATCTTGAGGTCGTTAACAGACAACTTCGAGAATGTTGTATGTGCCATAGAAGAGTCGAAAGACCTAGCGACGTTGATGGTCAATGAGCTCGCTGGTTCTCTCGAGGCACATGAGCAACGTAAGAAAAAGAAGGAGGAGACACTCGATCAAGCGCTTCAGACGAAGACATCAATAAAGGATGAAAAAGTACTCTACACTCAAAATGTTCAAGGTAGAGGTTGTGGAAGCCGCGAGAATGGTAGAGGTGGTCAAGGCAACAGTTACGAAGAAAACTATAAGGAGAAGAGACTGTCGTGTAGAATTAAAATTTACTCTGATACCAATTGGTTGAAATTAAAAGCCACTCTGATACTGACTTGTAGAAAATGGACACTCGCTCTGAAACTAACTCGTTTAGATAACTCTCACGAAACTTTGAAGGGGTGTCGAGAGGGGAGAGACAAAAAGACAAAGAATTCTCAAAAGCCTTTTTCGATTACACTTTCTGCTTTGCTCCTTTTTTACGCTGCTTGCTCTGCATGCTCTACTTGCTTTGCAGTTAGAGTTACAATGAGGAGTAAAACCTATTTATAATTTTTTCTAAGGCTAAAATTGGTCATAACTATACCACGTTTTCTCACCCATAAACCACTTTTGACTAAATTTTAAAACACAACTTTAATAACTACTTGTTTCTTTTTTTCTCTTTCTCATTTAAGTTTATTCCCAACCAAACTCTCCCATAAACTTAAATGTTTTATTTAATGATTCCACCTACGCCATTTTCGTTTTCTCGAGCTCAGCCGTGGTTTCTTCAATTTTTTCTCCTTTTCTTGATGAGACTTCATCTGGATCTTCTCGAGAAGAGCCCATCTGAGGCACCGACTCTTCTTTTCTCCCGTTCTCAGCCACGCTGGACTCAGATGTCATAGCTTTGTTCACTTTACTCAATTCCCTTTGTAAGTTCACAACGATATTTTCCACTTCTATTTTTGCTTCCTCCATTTCAGCTTTATCACGAGTGATTATCTCAATCGTGCGTCGTAAACTCACTGCCTCCTGTTGGATTCGATTCAGATTCACATCAACTGAATCTCTCTATTAAGTTAACATCTTTACATCTTCCTCCTTCATTTTCGAATCCAAATCTTCATTAACCCTACCAGATTCATACAATAGCCTCTTAACAAATTTCTTCTCTTTCAACAGATTCTGATTCACAATCTCACTTTCATGTTTTCAACTGACAACTTCTTGCATTTCACCTTCAAATCCTCTGTCTCTTCCAAAGCCCTTCTGTCATTCTTCTCCATTTCAATCATTTTCTTCCTCAAATCTCCTATTTCCTCAAGCAATCCATCAGAATTAGCCTTAATTTCATCCCTCTCACAACAAACCTTCATCCATTTCTCCCTTTCTTCCTCAACTTTGCCAATTATTCTCATCTTTCAATCTCCCAATCTCCCCATCCTTCAATCTCTCACTCTCAACTAACCTACAAACCCTATCTCCCACTTCATCCATTTGACTATGTTTCTTCTTATTGGCATTCTTCTTCAAGTCGAGCTCCAAACCCTCTTTAGCCTGAACCAGAGCTCCAAACTTCTTTCTCTTCTCGTGTGTCTCCTTCAAAAGGTGCTCATTCAGCGATTTCAATGTCTGCAACTGAGACTTCTCCACATATTTATCCACGATAGTTTTGGGTTGTTGCTCTGAATCTTTGTTCTCCTCCTCATGATCTAGTAGTTTCTTTGGCTCGTTCGCTGATCGTATTGGCTTTTTCTTCGTCATTGTTTTGGGATTTTCAACGGAATTTGAAGGGATTGCAGCTTGCATTTAAATCATCTGCTTCTCATGTTCAATCTGCATTTGAGCTGTTGACTCTGGCAATTCGGAAGACAATGTCGACGAAAAATTGGCCGAAGGTTTCTTCGAAGGAAAATTTAGCGGAAGTAAAAGGAGAGAGAGTGAGAGATTCGCTGAGATTGCTGAAGACTCGATATTTTATTTTACTTCAGTTGAATGATTTAAATAACAAATCTAATTACAAAAATAGAAAAACCAAATATACAAAAATAGAATAAGTGGACGAAGACTTCGCCCAATTTGCCAAAACAATGGCCCCTAGAATCACGCTCCTCCATTCGCGTGAACTCAGATGTTTTTACAAACCTAACTAAATAAAGCAGGGCTTTTATTTAACAATCTCCTCCTAAAAGCTGTACCTTATTATTTGAACTCCGATCTTTGAGCGTAGTTCTTCAAATTTCACCCGCGCCAGGGACTTGGTGAAAATGTCTCCAAGTTGTTCCTCTGTTCGGATGAAATCAATCTTGATGAGCCCTCGATCTGCACATTCTCGAATGTAGTGGAATCTGATTTCTATGTGCTTGCTCTGGTCGTGCAAAACTGGATTTTTGATCAGGGAGATCGTAGCTTTGTTGTCTACGTATAGCATTGGTGGATCACTTTCTCTCCCGATGAGTTCTTCCATTAGTCGTGCAAGCCAGATCCCTTGAGTTGCTGTCATCGAAGCGACAATGTATTCTGCTTCGCAGGAAGACAAAGTAACTACCTTCTGTTTTGTTGATTGCCAGCAGATCGCGCCGCCTGAGAGAAAGTAGATCATTCCGCTAGTGCTCTTACGATCATCAACGTCACCGGCCATGTCACTATCGCTGTAGCCGACCAGCTTGAGTTTCTCCTTTCTGCTCCCTACGCAGTATCTTACGCCCCAGCCTCTGGTTCCGGCTACATAGCGCAGGATGCGCTTGACAGCCACTAGATGCTCCTCCCTAGGTGCTTCCATAAACCTGCTCACATATCCAACAGAGTAAGCAAGACCAGGACGAGAATTTACCAGATAGCGCAGACTCTCGACAATGCTGCGGTAATTGGTGGAGTCGATTGTCGTCGTAGTGTCGGCCTTCCTTAGTTGGAGTCGGGCCTCCATTGGCATTCTGTAGGATTACTGTCCACAAGCCCAGTTGTGTCTAGCAGCTTCTTCGCGTATGCACTTTGGCAGATGGAGATGCCGGAAGAGTTCTGCTGCACTTCGATGCCAAGGTAGTAGCTGAGCACGCCGAGATCGCTCATCAAGAAGTTTTTGGACATCTCCTTCTTGAACCTTCCGAGGACTCCCACGTCGCCTCTAGTGATTATGAGGTCGTCGACGTAGACTCCCACAATCAGTCGCTTCTTGTCGTGGCCGTGCGTGTACATCCCATGCTCAGAGGTACAACGTTTGAATTTCAGTGACAGAAGGGTACTGTCGAGCTTCGCGTTCCAGGCTCATGGGGCTTGTCGAAGTCCGTAGAGTGCTTTGTGCAAGCGCAGTACCTTATTAGGGTTGTCGTTGTCCAGGAAGCCAGGTGATTGTCGAACATAGACGGTCTCCTTCAACTCTCCGTTAAGGAAAGAAGACTTTACGTCCATATGGTGAACCTCCCAAGAGTAATGTGCCGCAATTGCCAGCAAGAAACGAACGGATTCTAACCTTGCTACTGGCGCAAATATCTCTTCGAAGTCCACTCCTTGCTTCTGGACGTAGCCCTTCGCCACCAGACGGGCTTTGTGCTTCACAACTTCTCCTTTTTCGTTGCGCTTCAGTTTGAAGACCCATTTGAGCCCTATGGCTCGGTGTCCCGGCGGCATATCCTCCAGACTCTACGTCTAGTTCTCGGTGATGGATGTCATCTCCTCCTGCATTGCCTTCAGCCAGCACGGGTTTTTTTCTGCTTCGTCGATGGTGTTCGGTTCATCTGCACTGATGGCATGTAGTTCGGCCACTTCTTCGAGCTCGCGCGCTGCCAGTCCAGGTGGTTCACCTCCTCCCACTAGGTCATCCATCCTCCGGTACCTGGCCTCCAGATCAGTATCGTGATCGGCATCCAGCGTCGAATCCGCAGTCCGTGGTGTTGCGTATTCCACTGGTTCAGGTGGTGCACCTACTGGCGACGGTGACGTCTCCTGATGTTGGGCTCCTCCTTCTTCAAGCTCGGTGACGAGGTACTCCACCGTGAATTGATTTGGATTACGGTCTGCCTCGATCACGTCATTCCACTGCCAGAAAGTGCTTTCGTCGAAGACGACGTCGCGAGACACGTGAGCTCGCCCCCCTTCATGTATGCGATGCAGCCGAACACGCGGAAATGATGTACTGTTGGTTTTTTGTTGTACCAGGCCTCATATGGCGTCTTCCCGTCGAGGTTTCGGGTTGGTGACCGATTGAGGAGATAGACAGCCGTCACCAACAATGACCTCGCTTTCCCGACAATGGTTTGATTTCGGCGCTCTACCACTCCGTTCTGTTGGGGGGAGTAAGGCGCCGTTAGGTGCCGTTGTATGCCGATCCCGTCGCAGTACTTATTGAAACTTGTCGAGGTGAATTCTCCTCCTCGATCTGTGCGCAGCACTCGCATCTTCTTCTCACATTCTGCCTCCGCTCGCGCTTTAATGTGCTTAACCGCCTCTGCCACCTCACTTTTCGTTTGCAGCAGGGTCAGCCACATGAAGCGGCTTTTGTCATCGACTAACAGGAGGAAGAGATTCTTACCGCCTGTGGTCGCCGGCTTGATGGGCCCGCAGATATCGCCGTGTACAAGCTCCAACGGCTCATCGGCTCGGTAGGATGTTCGAGACGGAAAGGCTGCCGCCTCACTTTTCATTTGTAGCAGGGTCAGCCACATGAAGCGGCTTTTGTCATCGACTAATAGGAGGAAGAGATTCTTACCGCCTGGGGTCGCCGCTTGATGGGCCCGCATGAAGCGGCTTTTGTCATCGACTAACAGGAGGAAGAGATTCTTACCGCCTGGGGTCGCCGCTTGATGGGCCCGCATGAAGCGGCTTTTGTCATCGACTAACAGGAGGAAGAGATTCTTACCGCCTGGGGTCGCCGGCTTGATGGGCCCGCAGATATCGCCGTGTACAAGCTCCAATGGCTCATCGGCTCGGTAGGATGTTCGAGACGAAAAGGCTGCCGCCTCACTTTTCATTTGCGGCAGGGTCAGCCACATGAAGCGGCTTTTGTCATCGACTAATAGGAGGAAGAGATTCTTACCTCCTGGGGTCGCCGGCTTGATGGACCCGCAGATATCGCAGTGTACAAGCTCCAACGGCTCATCGGCTCGGTAGGATGTGCGTCTCTGTTTGCCAATGAGGCACCCGTCGCACAGCTTGTTCATGCCTTTGATTGCTGGTAAACCGTGCACCGACTCCTTCTTCTGTAGCTTTTCTAGGACAGGAAAGTTTAAGTGCCCGTACCTTGCGTGCCACCTCCAAGATACCTCTTCGGTCTTGGCCGAGAGGCTGACGGGTTGGTCTATCTCTAACTCCAGGATGTAAAGACGGTTTGTCGTGCGCCTTGCCTACGTGAGCAACCGTCGTTGATTGTCGCAGATTTTGAGTAGCCCGCGCTCGATGGAAATGAAGCAACCTGTCTCATCGAGTTGACCCAGGCTCATAAGGTTAGCCTTGAGCCTCGAGATGAAGTAGAACGTTGGTCAGCTTGCGATGCTCGCCTCCCTTGCTGACGAACAAGATGGTGCCGCGCCCTTCGATCTAGCCCCGGTCATATGGTTTGTTGCTCCTGTGTCAAGGATCCATCGTCGGTGCTCGTGTTGCTCGTCCCTCTCGCCGATCTGAGCGAACACTCGCTCCTCCTCTAGTTGAATTGGCTCCCGTGCCACCTTTGCTACACCCAGCTGGAGCTCTTTCTCGGGTTCAACAACGTCGTCGATTACCTCCATCTCCGTGGATTTAGAATCGAAATTGGGGACGCATGCAGTTACCCATGAAGAGAGCTGGCTCATCCTCCTCGGAATGAGCCACATGGGCCTTTTCGGCCTTCTCCTTCCGAGAGCTCCTTCCGTCGGCCTTCTCCTTCCGAGAGCTCCTTGATGTTGGATTCCCGCACTCGCTGTACACCGACCCGACGGGATTTGATTCCCTCCCAGGCCGATTGTGCGGTGCGCGCTTGGTGGAAAGAGACGCCAGTATCTCTGGGGGCACGGTACTCGATCACTCGCTCAACAATAACAACTCGACGCCCGCCATCATGGCGTCGGCCACGGCCTCTTCGTGGTGTTGATGGAGATGCCGGCACTTGGCGACGTGGAGGAGTGAACGAGCCTGCTCGAGATGGGCCCCACGATGTATTTATTTTTGCGCTTTGCATTTTCTTCTACTCGAACCTAAGACCTGTGTGTTATTAGGTCGACGCTCTAACCACTTGAGCTATTCAACTTGATTGTTGATAGGTTGGCTCTTCTGTGATGGTATACTACCGATCGCTTCAACGAGGCTCTGATACCACTTGTTGACTCTGGCAATTCGGAAGACAGTGTCGACGAAAAATTGGCCGAAGGTTTCAGGAAAATTTAGCGGAAGTAAAAGGGGAGAGAGTGAGAGATTCGCTGAGATTGCTGAAGACTCGATATTTTATTTTACTTCAGTTGAATGATTTAAATAATAAATAAATAGAAAAACCAAATATACAAAAATAGAATAAGTGGACGAAGACTTCGCCCAATTTGCCAAAACAATGGCCCCTAGAATCACGCTCCTCCATTTGCATGAACTCACATGTTTTTACAAACATAACTAAATAAGGCAGGGGCTTTTATTTAACATCAGCATCCTCTCTCCATTCCATTCCATTCTCTTTCTTCTTTCTTCTTCAAATTCTCTTTCCCACCATTGGAGCTCTCTCTCTTCGAGCTTAAGCTCTCTACTATCTGGTTGTTCATCCTTCTTCGATTTTCTCTCTAATATCGCAATTTTGCCAAATCTGCTACGTATCACCCCATTTCCAACAACTTCCACTACCTCATGACTATCGCCATCGTCTTTCACACCGCCATCTCCTTTTGTGTTCGGCTCTTCATTTTGGGCCATCAAAAGAATGCCTCCACTTGTTGGATCATCTAAGGCCAGGTTGATGGTTTCTTCCACCTTTTCTTTGGCTCGACAATCTCTCGCATAGTGACCCATTCTGCCACAATTGTAACATCTGTTAGAGTTACAATTATTTGCATAGTGGCCATATTTCTGACATTTAAAGCACAGGATGTTGAAATTGTATCCTTGACCGCGCCCTTGATTGCGTCCTCTTCCATGCCAATTTGCTTGGCTCGACAGTCTCTTCTCCTGGTAGTTTTCTTTGTCAGTGTTGCCTTGACCACCTCGACCATTCCCACAGCTTCCACGACTTTTACCTCGAAAATTTTGAGAGTAGAGTGCCTTTTCATCCTTTATCGATGCCTTTGTCTAAAGCGCTTGATCGAGTGGTTCCTCCTCTTTTACTTGCATTGTTCGTGTGCCTCGAGAGAACCGGCAAGCTCATCGACTGTGAACTTCGCTAGGTCCTTCGACTCTTCTATTGCACATACGACATTCTCGAAGTTTTCTGTTAACGACCTCAAGATTTTCTCCACAACCCGCGTCTCGGGTAACATTTCTCCGTTTCGATTTAGCTGATTCGCCACGGTCTGTACACGTATAATATAGTTAGATATATTTTCTAACTCCATCTTCATGCTCTCCAACTAGCCTCGTAGAGTCTGGAGACGCACCTGCTTGACTCGGTCGGTTCCTTTGAACACCTTTTCTAGAGTGTCCCACGCTTCTTTTGAAGTAGTTTCCCTTGCAATCTTCTCAAAGCCCGACTCTTCAACAGCCTGAAACAGCATGTATAATGCTGCCTTATCCTTTGATCGTAATTCCTTTAGTGACTTGTTTTGCGCTGCCATATAACCCGTGATATCCTTCGGTTCTTTGAAACCGTCTTCGACCACCTCCCATGCGTCTTGCGAACTGAGAAGAGCTTTCATTTGGATACTCCAATTCTCGTAGTTCGTCTTCGTCAATCGTGGTAGCGGCATTTGTCCCATCATGTTCGCCATCGGCTCTGATACAAATTTGTAGAATTAAAATTTGCTTTGATACCAATTTGTTGAAATTAAAAGCCGCTCTGATACTGACTTGTAGAAAATGGACGCTCACTCTGAAACTAACTCGTTTAGATAACTCTCATGAAATTTTGAAGGGGTGTCAAGAGGAGAGAGGCGAGGAGACAAAGAATTCTCAAAAGCCTTTTTTTATTAAACTCTCTGCTCTACTCCTTTTCTCTGCTTGCTCTACTTGCTCTCTAATTACAACGAGAAGTAAAACTATTTATAAGATTTCGTATGGCTAAATTTGGTCAAAACTATGACACCTTTCTCACCCATAAACCACTACTTTCCTAAAATTCGTATGGGCTTTTGACTAAATTTTAAAACCCAAAATTAATAAATACTTCTTTCTTTTTTTTTCTCTCTCTCATTTAAGTTTATTCCCAACATATCGAGCCAGAGCCAAGCAAATTGGCATGGAAGAGGACGCGATCAAGGACGCAGTCAAGGATACAATTCCAACATCCAGTGTTACAAATGTCAGAAATATGGCCACTATGCAAACAATTGTAACTCCGAAAATGTTACAATTATGGCAGAATGGGTCATTATGCAAGAGATTGTCGAGCCAATGAAAAGGTGGAAGAAACGATCAACCTAGTCTTGGATGACGCAACAAACGGAGACATTCTCTTGATGGCTCAGAATGAAGAGCTGAAAATAAAAGAACACGACGGTGCGAAAGACGACGGCGATAGTCGTGAGGCGGTTAGAAACTATTGGAAATGAGGTGATACGCAGCAGATTTGGCAAAATCCAGATAACGGAGGCGAGAAAATTGAATAAAGATGAACAACTGAATAACAGAGAGCCCGAGCTCGAAGAGAGAGAGCCCCAATGGCCGGAAAAGCAATTCGAGGAAGAAAGAAGAAAGAAGATGAAAATGGAAGAAGAAAAGAAAGAGTTAGAAATAAAGGTTGAAAGGTTGGAGAAAGAAATGGCTGAGTTGTGTGAGAGTTTCTTTTATCTCAAACAAGAGAAGAAAAAGAATGGGAAGGTAATCTCTGATCTTATGAATAAAGTTGAAGAAGGTGTAGAGAAAGAGAATAGCTTGTTAATGGAGATTGAGAATCTAGTGGACGAGCTAGTGAGGGAGGAGAAAGATATAGAGATGCTAACTCAACAGAGAGGCTCACTCGACGTGAACCTGAAACAAATCCAACAGGAGGCAGTGAATTTATGACACATGATTGAGATACTCACTCGTGATAAAACCGAAATGGAGGAAGCAAAAATGCTAGCTGTAAATGTCGCTATGGACTTGCAAAGGGAATTGAGTAAACTGAACGAAGTCATGATGTTTGAGACAAGCATGGCTGAGAACGGGAGAAATGAAGAGTTGGTGTCTCAGATGGGCTGTTCTCGAGAAGATCCAAATGAAGTCGCATCAGAGAAGGACAAGCTTAGTCTGCCGCTCAAGGATAAAGAGAGAAAATTGAAGAAACCACGACTGAGGTCGAGAAAACGAAAACTGCGCAGGTGGAATGATTGAATAGAGCATTTAAGTTTATGGGGGAGTTTTGTTGGGAATAAACTTAAATGGAAAAAAGAAAGGAGGATAGTTTTTTATTTGCTTAAATTTAGCAAGGCTTTTGAAATTTGAGTTGTAAGAAGGAAAGGGCGAAAGAAAAAATAAAGGGCCAAGAATGAGAGAACGAGTTATGAATAGCTAATTTTAGATTTTAGAAACGTTGTATACATTGATTGGTTTTCATGATAAAATGCAAGAGACAGAAAGCAAACTGTATCATGTAATAGAAAAGAGCTTTTTCAGAATTTCTTTTGTCCCCTTGTCTCTCCCCTCTCGACACCTCATTCACAGGTTCGTGAGAGTTATTTAAATAAGTTGGTTTCAGAGCGAGCGTCTATTTTCTATACGTTGGTAGCATAACGAATTTTATTTCAACACAGACATTCTCACCAAGAGCCTAGCAAGAGTTAAATTTGCAGACATGCAGGAGTTGCTCGAAGTGAAAAATCTCGTTGGATCGGTATGGCAACCCTAGAGGGGGGTGAATAGGGTTTTAACGATAAAAGTGTTTAAACGTGATTAATTTTTTTAATCATGAAACTTTTTACAAATAAGAAGAAGATAATTACTAGAACAAAATAATTCAAGCCAAAACAATAATCAAGTAGAACATGCAATACATCACAATAATAATTTTGAAATTAAATAGGAAAGAGTTAGAGAAAATGACATCGTAGTTTTATAATGGTTCGGTCAAACTCGACCTACTCCACTTCCCAAGCGCCTCTTGGGAATTTGAATAAAGAACTTTCTCGACTCTTTCCACGGATCAGAGCCAAACCGCTACACCACTCTTTTTACGAGTTCAAGAGCAAACTCAATTCTTTCCACGACGCAGGATCAAAGCAGTACAAGTATTTGAGTTTGATAATAACACACCATAACTCTTTCAAAAGAGTAGAATTACAATTTGAGACACTCACAACTATTTCCTCACAATACAATAATAATCCCTCTCAAGAATAAGATGAAGAGAAATAAACTTGTAAGCTTGGAGAGAGCAACAAACAATGAAGACTTTGAACAAATGAGGATGAAAGAATGTAGGTAAGTTGTGTTTTAAAATGTGGGGAAGATGAGTTTATATAGAGGAGAAAAGTGGCAAGATGTAGGAATTAATGTTGACCATTGGATTGGGTTAAGAATAATGGAAGGTGGAGATTAAAAGTTATTCCCGACCTTATACCGTGGACATTTCAAAATACTGAAAATAGTTAATAATTAAAAGTAGGTTTGTTATCATCAAAACATCAATTAATTAATTAATTGAAATTAATTAAAGTGAGATCAAGGGCAAAAAAGCCAACAAGTATCATATCGAATTGTATTTCAACACACACATTCTCACCAAGAGCCTGACAAGGATTAAATTTGCAAACATGCGAGAGTTGCTCAGAGTGAATTGAGTTAATAAGCTTGACTTAGCAAAAAAATGTCATTAATCTACAACAATTTTAACTACTCATCCGTTACTGACTTGAATAAATTTAGGGAAATTGTTAGTCTTTTGTTGATGGAAATGATTAAGTAGCTGTTTAACTTGAGGACAAAGTTTAGCAAACTAGTTGTGCTTGCTCCACCGTAAATACTCACGAGGATGTATGTTATTTTCATAAAGCAAAAATAATTGAAAAACATAAGTGCTTAAAGTTCCTTGTTCCAAAAGATCTCTCCCATCAAGTTGTTTTTCCTGCTTCAATTGTTTGTTTCGACATACTTCGATCGTGGGTCATTTCCAATAGAAACCCCACGTCTTTATGGAAAGAAAATTAAAATAGAGTAAGTTGAATGTGCTTTGTTCTTGTACTTCGATCGATCCCATCGTCCTCACGAAGTTTAGACTAGCAATCTTTGGAAACTTACGATATAGTATTTGAAAGAATGGAGTTTACATTATCATTATGATATTGATAACTCGAATTTATATGAATTTTAAACAAGATATTGAAGATATCGATGACAAACCCTCTTATTTATAGATATATCTACAAATATTTCAATTCTTAGATGTAGTCACTTAAAATTTTAGATGATATAAATATTCTTAGAAGTTATCGGGATAGTAAGAGTATTATTGTAACAACGTGAAAGAAGGATCATTACTTAAAAAGAAACATCATAAATATTTAGTAAAAGTATTATTGTAATAACGTTGAAAGAAGGATCATTACTTAAAAAGAAACATCATAAAATAATATTTAGATGTTCCATTTAGTAATATTTATTAAAACTAAAAGGTTACGTAAAGGTAAGACATCCCTTTATGAATGATGACATCGGTGTGAAGTCTATGGAACTGAAGCTAGGGTAGTTGCATTTATGTGTAAATTTTAGCCCTTATATTAAATTAGAGCGTTGCTTTATTTTATTTTAATTCATGTTATACATTTTTTTTCTATGTTGTTGATAACAATACTTTTTTAAATGAATTTAGTATGAACGTTTAAGTCCATGACTATCATTTATAAAATATTTTTACATATTTTTCTTATATAATAGAGCATTCCATGTGTCTCTATTTTATTAAGAAAAATAGAGTCGGTGGGTTGCAAATAACCTAGATTACTAATCTTAGGTTGTTTACTATAAGAGTATCCTTTGGTCTCTTTTGATCCACTTGACTTTATAATTGGTCTTTTATTTTTTAGCAGTCTCTCTAGTCTCTCTATGGGGTAAGTGCTTAAGATTACTTTGTTCCAAAAACTCTCTTCCCTCAAGTTTTTTCTTTGCTTCTTTTACTTTGTTTCAACATATTTCGATCATGGGTAATGTAACAAAGAGAACTACGATCTTCAGCATGTCTTCGAGATCCTCGAGATCTTTAGTATGTCTCCTTGACTTAATGTAACAAAGAGATAAGACTAGGGTTGTTTCAGAAGAGATGATAAGATGAGAACTAGAGGAACCTCATGCATGTTGTATGTACATAAGCATAGTGATACTTCCCCTAGAGATGAAGAGTGCGGACGCACACAGTATGATGAGTACGGTGATCTTGGGGAGCATGACACCAGGTGTTCCGCTGACCTCCGGACGTCGCTACAGACAGTTTGCTTGACCAGAGAGGGTCTAGGGGGTATGCGAGCTGCCAGGGGACACACTCGAACGTGTGGGTCGGGTGTAGGGAAGTACTACACATCCATAGTAGTCCAGACTGGAGGTCACCCCTAGTATGAGATGAGATAGAGATAGGTCCCATGTACAGATGACGGTGACATCGCAAGCAGAGAACACGACACGTGCATTAGATAGTCGCATCTTTAAATTCCTAGACTTAGGTTAGTATCGTTTGTCTTGAATTTCACATTACTTTTATTTTATTTTGTATTTGTTTTTAATTGTTTTCAGTATTATGCGTTAGAACACGTAAGACCATGACAGTGTTTTTAAAGTCAAAAATATTTTCATTCGTTCAAAA